AAATGGCTGGGGGGAGTGGGGCCAGACCCCCCGCACTGTGCCCAAGTCCTGCTGGGTGGGCTCCAGCCGTGCCCACACATGTGCCCCTGCCTGTGTGTGAATGTACTGGCGCCTGTCTGCTGCTGGGTCATTGCCCTCCTTAAGTGTCGAGTTCACCCTGCTGTGCTCATGAAATATTAATTTGCGTTACCGGGAAGCCGGAGGTCGAAAGGTGTCGGAGGAAAACAGAAAAACCTGTGAGTGCGGCCACCTCGCAGCCCAGTGGGTACCAGAGCCCCGGTGCTCCCGGGGGAGAAGCAGCCCCAGAAGCCAGAAAAAACTGCCCTGGGGGTGCCCAGGAGAGCCAAGAACAAGCCCCCAGCACCTGGGAAATGGTCCCCAACCAGCAAATTTGGAAGTAAGTGAGAGCCTTGCTTGCTGTAAGAGCAAGGGGGCACAGAGCAGGACCCTCTGCTCCTCCAGCCCCTTCTCCCCAGTTAATGTCAACACCCTGGGGCTGCAACTGCACCAGCAGCCATATGGGGAACGCGCTGTGACTATAAATACAACTGGGCTGACAATAAGGCTTTGATTAGGCTGCTAAGGCTTTAATTGCACTGACAAATTGCTGGATATGCCTGTCACCCAGCTTTTGGAGCTGGGCCCTTGAAGAGCAGATGCTGCAGCCAGTGGGCTGGGATTTGGGTGCAGGAGGGGACCAGGGGGTCCCTGGGGATGAAGGGCTCTATGCCAGGGCACAGGGGTGACAGCTGTGCCCCAGTCCCTGACTCAGCACAGGCACTCGTGGCGCGGGACTGGGAATAGCCAGTGTTGTCAGCGTGCAGGCAGCTGCCAAGCCCAGCTGCCAGACCCTCGCAGAATCGGGGCCTGGACAGCGGCTGTCCCCTGCTCGGTGTGGGGATAGACAGGGTAGAACCCCAGCAAAGTGTTGGCTGGGACTGTGGCCCCACTCCTGGGGGACATGCCAGGCATGGGGCTGGTAGTGGCTGTTCAGCTGTCCCCAGGGCAACTGGGGGACCTCACAAGTGGGGACTGCCTGTCCACGCTCTTGGGGACCTTGCATGTTGCTGGAGGCACAGGGAAGCTGGGGTGACATCCCAGCTGCCTCCCAGCAGTGCCCAGTGCCAGGGCTGCACATTCCCAGCACCAGCCCTTCTTGCAGGGTTCAGACTGGAAAAGACTCGCCGCAGTGCCTGCGCCCTCCCACATTCAATGTGCCAGGGGGGCAGCGACCCACCAGCCCAGGGCTCAGGGTACCTGCACCCACAAACAGCAGGGTGGCACCATGGCTCCTCTCGGGCCCTGCAGAGTGGGTCCCCTGATGACTGCTGCTTTGCACAGCCCCAAGAGCACCCTGCATCCCCCCCCCCAGCACACTCTCAGCTCCCCTGCACCCCATGACCTGCAGGGATCCAGTTGGGGGACAACCCTGCCAACCATCTGCCTGCACCCTCCTGCCTCCTGGCAGCACCCAGCCCAGCACAGCTGCTTTGAAGGGTCACAGCTCCAGGTGCCCACCTGCCCCATGCCCTCTCCACTGCAGCAGGCAAGGGGATGGAGATGGGGATGTTTTTGGGAAGCCAGTGGGGAGGAAGAGGCACCGAGGCTGGAGGAACAGAGAGAGAAACTGCCATGAGACAGGGATGGGCTTGGTGCCACCATCGCATCTGTCCTCTCTGTACCCTGCCATGCATGTGTGCAAGGTGGCAGCGTGCAAGGGAGCTGCTTGCAGCCCCTAGGCCCATAACCACACTGAGGTTTGGGAGCTAAACTGATCTCCCCCAGTGCCAGCCCCTACAGGCTCCTGGCATGGCCCCAGCGTGCTCAGCCCTGAGAGCCATGCCTGCCCCACGCACACAGTGAAGAGACGATCCCTTCCAGCACAGCGAAGATCCCATGAGTGTAGATACAAGGACACGGCTATTTGGCTCTCCCTGGCGTGTGAGTGATGCCCCGAGCCCAGCACAGCCCGGCCCCCTGCAGCACCCCCACAGCCCCCTGCCCGAGTTACACTGTCAAGGGGAGCAGGATGGGGACCAGGGGCTGGAGAAACCCAACACAACGGATTCCCGCAGGGTGCTGCCCCCCGGGACAGCCCCAGCTCC